CTTCTACCCCTAACCCCTTTATCTGCAGGAGATGTCTTCTAAGACCCCTTGGTAAATGCCTGAAATTCCATACAATACAACACACACACACATACACATTTACATACACAGTAACTCCTACCCCCAACCCCCTTATCTGCAGGAGATGTCTTCTAAGACCCCTTGGTAAATGCCTGAAATTCCAGACAATACAAAATGCTGTGTACACTATATTGGGGAAGGGAAGGGGGTCGCACAGGTGTTGTGGTGTAGCAGATAAAGCCACGTATGCAGTGCTGGTATCACATATGGGCAACATTTCAAGTCCCAGCTGCTCCACTTCCAATTCAGCTCCCTGCTAACGGTCTGGGAAAAGCAGCGGAAGATGGCCCACGTACTTGGGTCCCTGCCATCCTCATGGGAGACCTGAATGAAGTTCCTGGCTCCTGTCTTCAGCTTGGCTCAGCCCTAACCATTGCGGCCACCTAGGGAGTGAACCAATAGATGAAAGATTTGTCTCTGTCTCTCTCTTTCTCTGCCTTTCTTTCCACCTTAACCAAGCACTGGCATGCATTATGGCTGTAACTTGGAGTTTGAGGTGCTATAGCAAAACTAACATGAATTTCTCTTTCCTCTTTCACAATTTCTTAGACAGAATATACATTCTTACTGTAGTTCTTAGCAAGCTCAGCACACAGTATTTTCTTTTATTAAGAACTTTCACATTTTCACTTGAAGCACTTTCTGGCTCTCTCTGACATATCTGCATCTGCTCTTGATATGGCTGTTAGGTAAAGTAGGGTCACTTGAACACAAGCTCAGAATGAGATGCTGCAGCAGTTGATCTGATAGCTGCTAAGTGGCTGACAGGCAGGTGGCATAAACGCAGTGTGAATACACTGGGTAAAGGCATGTCTCACGTTCTGGGTGGGACTAAAATAGGTTCCATCATGCTAATCAAAGTGACACAGTTTAAAATTTGTGAGTTGTTTATTTCTGAAGTTTTCCACTTAGTGATTTTGAGTAGTAGGTTATTAAAACTGGAAAATAAACCCATGGGTAAGTGGGAACTATCCTTCCCACACACAGTATATGTATATACAAGAATCTAAGCAATTTTGATGCTGAATTAAGTCCTTTCCATTTTGTGTGTGTGTGTGTGTGTTTGGACTTCTCGTCTGAAGCTACACTCACTATACATCATTTCCGGTTGCAGTTACCCTAAAGTGCATCAAGTGTTTGAGAATATTTTAAAAATAGATTTTTATTCATTCCCAAATCTTTTACAACTAGCCCACCTATATGTAATTCAAAAGCAGTTCTTTAATTTGAGTGATTTGCCTTTAGCTACTCTTTGGGAAGCCTTCAATTTTATTTTCATAATAAAAGCAATCATTTTCTTATAATCTATCATTTATTTGATAAAATATACATATATTGACAATAGTGCATTCACCTGTCAAAAATTATGTTTAGGGGGGCCGGTGCTGCAGCATAGCGTGCAAAGCTGCCGCCTGCGGTGCCGACTTCCCATATGGGCACCAGTTCAAGTCCCAGCTGCTCCACTTCCGATCCAGCTCTCTGCTATGGCCTGGGAAAGCAGTACAAGATGGTCCAAGTCCTTGGGCCCCTGAACTCACGAGGGAGACCAGGAAGAAGCTCCTAGCTCCTGGCTTCGAATCAGCGCATCTCTGGCTGTTGCAGCCAATTGGAGAGTGACCACCAGATGGAAGACTTCTCTCTCTCTCTCTCTCTCTCTCTCTCTCTCTCTGCCTCTCCTCTTTCTGGGCAGCTCTGACTTTCAAATAAAGAAATAAATCTTTAAAAAAAAAGAAGACCTCAAAAAAAATTATGTTTCGGAACAGAAACTCTGTGAGAAAACAATTCTACTAGCCATAAGCGTCCAGGTCTGAGCATCAGTCACTGTGTTTCCCTGGACTGTGGAGCTATCAGAGATTAAGCTGTGTTACATCAATTAAACTGAAGAAGAAATTCTTCCAGGAGAAAGCAGCCATTGTTTGTAAGATTACAAATCCTCAGCGAAATTTATAGAGTAATTTGTTAAACCTTATTTGGAAATCTATCTTTAGCTTAAGTCTTAATATTTTTTACCTTCTCTAGAACATTACCTTGAATGTGTAATTGTTTGCAGTAGGTACTGTTTAGCTTCTTTAAGGATTTGTTTTCTTAGGTTATTTATTCTCAGTGTCAATATTAGTGGATAGCCGACAGCTGTCAGAACTGAGAACTAAATACTGGAGGTTATGTCATTGCCTCATATGTCTTTCAGTCATTTACAATAATTGATTATATAATGATGTTTATAAGTTAGATGCTGGTGTTTCATCCCTGTATTATTCTGTTTCCAATCTATTTACTTTCTTTAAAAAAAAAAAGATTTATTTACTTATTTGAAAGTCAGAGTTAGAGAGAGAAGGAGAGGCAGAGAGAGAGAGGTCTTCTATCCACTGGTTCACTCCTCAGTTGGCCACAATGGCTGGAGCTGCGCCAATCCGAAGCTAGGAGCCAGGAGCTTGTTCTGGGTCTTCCATGCAGGTGCAGGGGCCCAAGGACTGGGCCATTTTCTGTTGTTTTCCCAGGCCAGAGCAGAGAGCTGGATTGGAAGTTGATCTTCCGGGTCTTGATCCAGTGCCCATATGGGATGCCGGCACTGCAGGTGGCGGCTTAACCCACTGCGCCACAGCGTCGGCCCCCATTCTATTTACTTTCCATGATTTAATATGTACCAGCTGCACCTTTAAAACTTTAAGTGACTGGCTCACTTTTGGCAGAGAGCCCTGCTGACTCCATCCTTAGTTCTATATCTAGTTCTTTGTTTTTTAAGATTTATTTATTTATTTGAAAGACGGAGTTAGAGGGACAGAGAGAAAGATGAGTCTTCCATCTGATGGTTCACTCCCCAGATGGCTGCAACAGCCAGAGCTGGGCCAGGCTGAAGCCAGGAGACAGGAGCACCATCCAGGTCTCCCACATGGGTGGCAGGGGTGGCAGGGACCCAAGCCATCTTGCACTGCTTTCCCCATGCATCAGCAGAGAGTTGGATTGGGAGTGGAGCAGCCAGGACTCAAATTGGCACCTATATGGGATTCTGGCATTGCAGGTGCAGCTTAACCTGCTGCTCCACAATGCAGGTACCCTAGATTCAGTTCTTTTAAAATTATGTACATGAAAAGACATGATGATATCCATGGGTATGCTACTGTCTAGAGTTGTCTGCACATTTTGAAGTTGTAAAGCAACTGATGAAATCAGTCTTTCCTGTGTATGCATCTTGGGAGGTCACAATTACTGTTTAATGGCTGGCACTGTTGTGTAGCAGGGTTACACTGCACTTTGCAGGCTGATATCCTATATGGTCGCTGGATTGTGTCTCAGCTGCTCCACTTCCAATCCCGTTCCCTCTTGATGCACCTGGAAGGCAGCAGAAGATGGCCCAACTCCTTAGGCCCTTGCCACCCATGTGGGAGACTTGGAAGAAGCTCCTGGCTCTTGACTTTGGCCTAGCCCAGCCCTGGACCGGCCATTGTGGTCTTTGAAGAGTGAACCAGCAGATGAAAGGTTTCTCTCTTTGCTGTCTCTCTGTATCTCTGCCTTTCAAATAAATAAATAAATAAATATTCTTTAAAAATGTGATAATCCATGAAGGAGACATAAAACCAGGGCTGGAATCCTTTCCTTGCTGTTTCTTAAATGTGTGATCTTTGGGGGGTCAGCTGACCTCTCAGAGACCTGCTTCTTCCCTTGGAGCAGGAATTATTTCACCCCTACAAGGTACTCAAGAAATGTGAGAATGAGATCAAAACTCTCAGAACTTCAGATTCTTACCTGTTGCTTCACCCTTCTGCCTTTGCTTGTGTTACTCTCTTTCATGGTTTCCCACTTCTTCATCTGATTAATTGATCTTCAAATGCCAAGAGTTCTGTTCCCCCCAGAGGCCTTCCTGATCATCTCGGCCTCAGTCAGCTCTTCCTCTCTTCTTTCCCAACATTGGGTGTTCTTGTTGCCTTTGCGTAGACCCTTCTTTCTGCCTGCATATCTCGCTCTCCTTTCCCATGGCATACTTCACTTTGTTTTTCATCTTACAATGCAAGTGTCATTTCTTTTTTCAAAGCAAAACCTGATTGCATTTACAGATTCCAGTGTCCTTTCCTCTGTGTGCCCCAGTTGCTCTGTGTGTCACATCTGATGTGATCTGCTGTTACTCAGTTTTGTGGCTCTGTCCCTAGTGAAGGGTAAATTCTTCATGAGTGGAGTCTTTATCTCTCCAGGTTGCCTAGGACATAGTAACTGCTTATTAAATGCCTTTGAACTGAATGAATCAGCAAACTGAAATAATTATAGTATTACATACACACTATATATCACAAGTTTACTATTAGGCAAAACAAGTAAATAAAGCAGAGCATTGTTAGAATTTCATAAACTGAAACACTACCCAGTAAATCATTGTGCCTCACCTTACCAGCCAGTGGTTTGCTGAAATAATGCTTTACAACTAGGCCCTTGATCCAGGAGCTAGTTTCCTCTTCAGGGCTTTTTGGATCATGAATACTAAAGACTTTCCTCTGTAGGGGGAAATTCGCTGTATAGAAGATTTCTGAAGTTCATCTACATCCTTTCTGGTTCTCAGGCTGAGAATTCTTGCCGTAACTTAACTTTATAGCAAGATAAAAGTTACTGTGCTAGACATCCAAGATCAGCTCTGGAGGTAGAAATAAGGCTTAGTTAAACCTGCAAGTTTAAATGAAACTTACAAAGAGAAGCAACCAGATATCCTTAGAGGACAGCTATTACAAAAGTAAATGAAAATGTCACATTTGAGAAGCAGAGGCAGGACCAGTGGGTTTCTGATGAATTTCAATTGTAGGGAATTATGATAAAAACCAACAATGTTTAATTCAACCAAATACTCAGGAGTCTGAACTTTCAGCACAAATAGTCTATAGAGGAAAAAAAAAAAAAAAAACAGTAGTACAACTGTGTTTTTCATTTTTGGACAGGCGGCATCTCAAATGGATACAGTGGGCTTCCCTTCTGATTCTATTTTTGTCTATTGTGGCCTTAACTACTGTGACCAAAACTTCTCAGCATAGCCTAGCAGGCCATGGATTTCATCACGACGCCTTCTTCAGCCCATCCAATTCCTGCCTTCACTTCATAAGTGAGTGTCCCAGAAACGACAATTGCTCAGCCAAGGAGTGGACTTCTCCTGAACCTCAGTGGAACACCAGAGCCAGGGTTTTCATTCACATTCGTCTTGGCTTGGGCCACATTCTTATTATAGTCCAGTGTTTTATTTCTTCAATGGCCAATATTTATAATGAAAAGATATTAAAGGAGGGGAACCAGCTCACTGAAAGCATCTTCATACAGAACAGCAAACTCTATTTCTTTGGTGTTCTTTTTAACTCACTGACCCTGGCAGTGCAGAGCAATAACCGTGACCAGATGAAGAACTGTGGCTTTTTTTATGGCCACAATGCGTTTTCAGTAGCCCTTATTTTTGTGACTGCATTCCAGGGCCTCTCAGTGGCTTTCATTCTGAAGTTCCTGGATAACATGTTTCATGTCTCGATGGCCCAGGTCACCACTGTCATCATCACTGCTGTGTCTGTCCTGATCTTTGACTTCAGGCCCTCCCTGGAGTTTTTCCTGGAAGCCCCAACAGTCCTTCTCTCCATATTTATTTATAATGCCAGCAAGCCCCAGAGTCTGGACTATGCACCAAGGCAAGAAAGGATCCGAGACCTAAGTGGCAGTCTTTGGGAGCGTTCCAGTGGGGTAAGTTTGTAAGGATGTTCTTTTTGGCTTGCTTATTCACAAATGCAAAGCATGGCTATTCAATTCAAAGAAAAATCAGTGCTGTTTTATCAAAGAGTATATTGGATTTCTGTGCTTAAAAATCAATTGATAAATGTTCATTGGACTCCAGAGGTATGCAAGAGCTCATGATAAATGCTGTTAGGGAAAGAAAAAGTCTCAAGGACTTTTTACATTAATTGCATCATAGAGAATTACAGAATCACAGACACTGGACAAAGTGGGTAATGCCTCATGGCTATCTTGTCTAGTTTCCTCATTTTATAAATGAAGAAGTAGTCTAAATGGTTTATGAGTAGTAAGGGAAAGGACTGATACTGGGCCTGACTCTTAGTCCCTTGCTCTTTCTGCTCCACAATAGTTGGAGAAATGAGCTTCATTCAGAAGAACAGTTGATCTTTCACATTGTTAAGTCTTGCTAAACAGAAAATCCAACTCCTTAATCTTTCCTGTAGTGTTCATAAATCGCAGTGTGCCAGAAGGGTAGGGTTTCTCTATTTCACTAAGAAGGTAGTCTTCAAAAAGGGTCTCAGAAAGTAGGAGAAAAGTAGGTTCTAGAAAATAATCATGTAATTATTCTGAGTATCTGCCAGTTGCTTATAGTTGTTTTTGGTAGGATCTATCAGTCATTTTATAGGCAAATTAATTAACAGTGATCTTATGGAAACTGTAATAAAGGATTTAAATATATATTAAAAGAGGAAATAAGCAAGAAACCCTTTATATTTACAGTTTTCATGAACACAAAAATATGAAATATTTCACACAGTGAACATTTCACTCTGAGGAAAATCTGTTGCTTTTTGAGTGTTCGTGGCAATTCTCTGGGTATAATGCTTCTGAAATGGTGATACAACAGATGCTTAAGATGATAAAATTAGAAACTTAAGTTACAAAGGTACTGATGCCTCCCAGAGCATACATTCAGATGTACTGTATTCTTTTCCAATGGACTAGTGCTGTTTTCCCTGTTTTTTGCGTAAAAGGAAAGCAGGTTAGGTCAGACCTAGTTTGTCCATTTCTCCAACCCTGAATTACTTCTCCTCAAGACCAGCAGATGGTGCTCCTTCCTTTGTTCAGATTGTTAACTTTGCTACTCAAGGACTGAATTGAGCCGGCGCCGTGGCTCAATAGGCTAATCCTCCACCTTGCGGCGCCGGCACACCGGGTTCTAGTCCCGGTTGGGGCGCCGGATTCTGTCCCGGTTGCCCCTCTTCCAGGCCAGCTCTCTGCTATGGCCAGGGAGTGCAGTGGAGGATGGCCCAGGTGCTTGGGCCCTGCACCCCATGGGAGACCAGGAAAAAGCACCTGGCTCCTGGCTCCTGCCAGGATCAGCGCGGTGCGCCGGCTGCAGCGGCGGCCATTGGAGGGTGAACCAGCGGCAAAGGAAGACCTTTCTCTCTCTCTGTCTCTCTCTCACTGTCCACTCTGCCTGTCGGTGATGGCACTGTAAAAATGCTGCATGGGCTAGGAGGACTGAATTGAGTGCACCTTCTTTTTAATGATGTCATTATACTTTTAAAAGTTCTGTTTAAAAACTTATTTCATTTGAAATAAGTTACATTTACAATTTATTTACAACTTAAAATGCAGAATATTTTTACAATTTAATGAAATAAGACCCATGATTGAATCATTAAGACCCTAGTGTATTTAGTGAGGCTTTCTCTTCATAGTCATTAAAAGTACTTCTCTAGCTTTGTTTGGATTAATTATTGATTTCATATTTCCTTTTAGGATGGAGAGGAACTGGAAAGACTTACCAAACCCAAGAGTGATGAGTCAGATGAAGATACTTTCTAATTGGTACCAAATAGTTGGCAGCTCTCACAAACCTCATTCTCATGTTTTCAGCATTTCTAATATTTAACTTTTCACTTCAATAACCCAAGAATGTTTCTAAAGCATAGTATTCTTTGCATGTATCTAACCACCTAAATTGTGCCATCCAAGTCTTTAGAGCACATAAAGAGTAAAAGTTATAAGGAACTAATGGAGTAATAATATAGAGACAAAATTAATGGCCTTGTATTTGATAAGTCAGCAAGATATATTTGCACATTATTTACTTTGTCCTCAGAGGTTCAAAAAATCTTGCAATAATCATGTTAGATATATCCTGTAAATATGCAACGAAGATCAGTATGCCAGATATTCATGATGATGTGCATCTAGCCTGGATACTACAGTCTTCCCTTTTTTATTATCATAAATATCTAAGTTGTCCCTTGAATTTTGAGGCCCTAGAGATGGTCATCTTGCAATTCAAAAGCTGTGGAACTCTTTTTAAAAATTTGGATTGAAGGACATAAATGTCTGAGTATCCCATAGACTTGTGGTAAGTAGCCTGTGCTCCATGTTCTGCTGAAGAAGCAATTATTTAGAATATTTTAGTTTTTAGGAATTCATGGGAAATTTTGTTTTCAGTAATAACATTTTACTGTTTTTCTATACAAGAAAGCTTCAATTTAGGTGAAACTTGGTTCCCAGGTCACCAAAGTTACCACTTGTATTTTAATTTATTTAATCAAGTCATGGTGGGCTTTTTTCCCTTTCTCAGTTTGTGTATCAACAAAATCCTGGCATCATCACACTTGGATTATTATATTTTAGACAAGTACCAAGAAGATATTTTATCAGATATTAATCAAGCTTGTAACTTAATTTTATACTTTAATACTTAAATACTTGCTTGTATTTATTTCATATGCTGTTCCCAAGAGTCACGCTGTAGTCCACAACTCTGGCTTCAGAATCATACCAGATGGTCAGTAAGACTTACGCCCAAGAGATCCATTTTAAAGGATCACTTTACAAGGAAATACTGACTTTTACTGAGATATGAATAGCATTACTCTAAAAGTAGGAGGACCAATAATCAAATTCCTTCATAGTAATGTTTCAAAATTATAAGTGCACAGTATTTTTCAAAGTATTTTGCATGCAATCAATTAACTCTATTAGATAGAGAAGTCAGGGGATGGATACAACTGAGAAAGCAGAATGACTTGCCCAGGGTCATGTAGCTGGGTGATGACGGAAGAGCAAACTCTAGCTGACAGGCCTGTATGTTTAGAGAACTGTACTAAAATATGAGCTATAAGGTGTCATACAGCATACACTTCTCTTCTTTCCCTTAATTTTCATGCAGGTATTTTTTTTTATTTAGTAAATATAAAATTTCCAAAGTACAGTTAATGGATTACAATGGCTTCCCCTCCCCCCATAAGTTCCCTCCCACTCACACCTCTCCCGTCTCCCGCTCCCTCTCCCATTCCATTCACATCAAGATTCATTTTCAATTCTCTTTATATACAGAAGATCGATTTAGTATATATTAAGTAAAGATTTCATCAGTTTGCACCCACACAGAAACACAAAGTTTAAAATACTGTTTCAGTACTAGTTATAGCATTACTTCACATTGGACAACATATTAAGGACAGATCCCACATGAGGAGTAAGTACACAGTGACTCCTGTTGTTGACTTAACAATCTGACACTCTTGTTTATGGCGTCAGTAATCTCCCTAGGCTCTAGTCATGAGTTGCCTAGGCTATGGAAGCCTTTTGAGTTTGCCAACTTCAATCTTATTCCGACAGGGTCATAGTCAAAGTGGAAGTTCTCTCCTCCCTTCAGAGAAAGGTACCTCCTTCTTTGATGGAGCCCTTTTCTTTCCACTGGGATCTCACTCACAGAGATCTTCCATTTAGGTCTTCTTTTTTTTTTTTTTTTTCTTTTGCCAGAGTGTCTTGTCTTTCCATGCCTAAAATACTCCCATGGGCTCCTCAGCCATATCCGAATGCCTTAAGGGCTGATTCTGAGGCCAGAGTGCTGTTTAGGATATCTTCATGCATATATTTATAAAAGAGAATGCTGGGATATAATTCCTCTGTGATGTGTATATCAGTAAGACCAGGAGAGTTGGTGGAAATTTATAATTGAAATAATTGTTAAACCTTTTTTTATGTCACCACTCTGGCATGTGAGGTGGGATGTGGAGTGCTTTCAATTTAAAAATGGAGATGAGTGCTTAGCCTCATGGTTAATACACTGGCTAAGATGCCTGCATCCCACTTCAGAATATCTGGGTTTGATGCCCAGCTCTGGCTCTTGCTCCTGATTCCAGTTGCTGCTAATGTAGACTTCAGGAGCCATCAGTGATGGCTCAAGTGATTGGGTTCCTGCTACCCACGTGGGAGACATAGAATGAGTTTCTGTTTCCTGGTTCCAGTGGCAGTTCAGCCCCAGCTTTTAAAATTTTTTCTACCTTTCATTTTGGAAAGCATTTGTTGCCCAAAGTAAAATTTGTTTGTTATCTCACCACTAATGAGAGAAAGCAAAATAGTATAAAAGAAATAAAAATATGTTCTGGAGTACAGCATGTGTACCACTGGTTTGAGGAGGATATCTTGAAGGTGAGAGGTCTGAAAATCATTTTCCAGGTGTTCTGTAATCTAGAGATTGTATAAATTAGAGAGAAGAATTAACATGTGGGAAAAGAATTGCACAACCAAACTCCAGTAAGGGTTCTAAGGTGAAGATGATTCTTTTGTTGTAAAGAAGACTCTCCCAACAATTGATACTTTGTAACAGTAGAAAAGATCTTCCTGAAGCCTAATAGAGTTAGTAGTAAATTCTCTGCCCTGAAGTGGTTAGGAGGAAAGTCCGTCATGAGGATGTTTTAGAAGAGATTCCTGGCCGGCGCCGCAGCTCATTAGGCTAATCCTCCGCCTTGTGGCACCAGCACACGGGGTTCTAGTCCGGGTCGGGACGCTGGATTCTGTCCCGGTTGCCCCTCTTCCAGGCCAGCTCTCTGCTGTGGCCAAGGAGTGCAGTGGAGGATGGCCCAAGTGCTTGGGCCCTGCACCCCACGGGAGACCAAGATAAGTACCTGGCTCCTGCCATCAGATCAGTGCGGTGTGCTGGCCACAGCACGCCGGCCGTGGCGGTCATTGAAGGGTGACCCAACGGCAAAGGAAGACCTTTCTCTCTGTCTCTCTCTCTCTCACTGTCCACTCTGCCTGTCAAAAATAAAAAAAAAAAAATTAAGAGATTCCTTCATTGATCTTGGAAGTTGGACTAAGTGATTGCTGAAATAATTCCCTGTTTAGCGTCTCTTCTAGGCAGTTATGAAGTACAACTAATTTATCAATTATTTTTTTTATTTGAAAGGCAGAGCCACAGAAGAAGGGGAGAGAGAGAGAGAGAGAGAGAGAGAGAGAAATAAACTGAGATTGAGATTCACCATCTACCAGCTCACTCCCCAAGTGGCCACAGTGATGGCCAGGGCTAGGCTAGGAGCCGGGAGCCTCAACCAGGTCTCCCACATGGGTGCAGGGGCCCAAGCTCCAAGCTGTCATCCTCTGCTGCCCTCCCAGGAGCACCAGCAGGGAGCTGAATCTAATGTGGAGCAGCTGGGACTCAAACTGGCACCCATGTGGGATGCCAGCATCACCTAGCACACCACAGCGCCGGCCTCCAGTAGTTTTTGAATAGCCTTGGATCGCAGGTGTGGTTTGCAGTGAATGACCTGGTCTAGCTCTTGTTATGCATCCTAGGACTGGACTTCTGCTGAGGAATGTGGCTAATCCTGAGAAGCAGGAACATGACTGCTGCTTATGGGGGAAAAGTTTGCTTAGACCCAGGATCTCAGATCCTGGACCAGCTGCCATAGGTTTCCAAGAGCCACATACAGAGGGGCCACTCAGCGCGGATTTACTGTTTATAGCTCGAAGGCTTTTCTTTTTTTCTCTCTGAGTCCCCAGGCAGAACCCATCTTACTGTGAGCTGGGCAGAAGTTTGTGGAGCTTCAAGAAATCCTTTCCCTCTTTGTGCAGGCCCAGCAGACTTCAAACACAGCCCCTGTCCTCCTGGGTTCTTTCCCCTTTAGCTGTAGCCTGCTTGTACCCATGAGGTGCTGCCATTCCAAGTCAGGAAAAGAGGCAGAGAGAGTCGGACTCAGTGGAAAGATAGTGATTCTGACTCTTTAAAGCCTAGAGCAGAGTGTTTTAAAGTTGAATAATATGGCCAGTGCCGCGGCTCACTAGGCTAATCCTCTGCCTGCGGCGCTGGCACCCAGGGTTCTAGTCCTGGTCGGGGCACCAGAGTCTGTCCCGGTTGCTCCTCTTCCAGTCCAGCTCTCTGCTGTGGCCCGGGAGTACAGTGGAGGATGGCCCAAGTGCTTGGGCCCTGCACCCGCATGGGAGACCAGGAGAGGCACCTGGCTTCGGATCAGCGCGGCGCACTGGCTGCAGCAGCCATTTGGGGGGTGAAGCAATGAAAGGAAGACCTTTCTTTCTGTCTCTCTCTCTCACTGTCTAACTCTGCCTGTCAAAAAAAATAATAATAACAACTTATATTCCCTTCTTTAAAGGGAAAAAAAGCATTTTTCATAAATCTCAGTGCATACCTTTTTTCTACTTCACTGTGACTTAAATGTAGACAAATATAATATGAAGTATAAGCTAATTTACTTATACTTTTTAATATGAAAACCAAAACACCTTTACACATTAAATTTCAAAGCTATAAAACTAGTAAGTTTTCAACTCAAATATCAATTTAATGAGAAAGTGATACTTTGTTCAGATAAAAACATTAGAGCCCAATAGCCCTGCAGAACCTCTGCCCTCATTTTCTGTATTAATTTCTTCACATGTCATAGTATCTCTGCCAAGATAACTGAAATCTGCTGATATTGCTGGTAGGGCATTTAATCCTGGTGGGATTTATCAACTCACATCCCCAACAATCCCATAATGGCCTTTGTGCCCTGGGGAAAAATTTTTAAATGTCAGCTTTATGTGTTCCCTGAAGTTCCAAAAGAACTCACTAATAAAATAGCCTAGACTAGCATGTTTTAGGTTACATCCATACATATTGCTCCCCCTTCCCCAGCTTTCCATCTCTTCCACTTCCTCTTTTTGGTTCACTCTTATCATTTATATTTTCCTAAAGTAACCATTTATACAGATTTTTAAATTTATTTGCATAGTAAGTTATGAGCTGTCATTCTCATAATTCTTAATTTCCTGTTACCATTGTTCGGTTATCTTTCTCATTCATAATTTTGTATGTGATTGTTTTCTCTTTTTATAAAAACATAGGTTAACTATTTCTAGTAATTTTTCCAGACTTTTTACTATGGCATTGTGCATATGGCATAAAATTGACTGTATTAACTGCGTTTAACTGTACAGTTCTGTGGGACTAAATATGGTCCTATTGTTGCACAACCACCACTACCACCACCATCCTTCTCTAGAACTTAATTGGTGAGTGGAAGTCCGTATTGCTGAGCTCATGTAGAATCTTTATCCCAGCTACTATAATCACTTGTTGTCTGAGCGCATGTTGGCAATGACAAGATAACTAGGGAAAGGAGCTATCTGGGATCAACATAATGTATTATCAGATCCACTTGATTATTTTACTGAAATCACCATTTGGTGAGCTTTCATATGAAACACAGATACCTTCACAGCCATTGCTCACTTAGAGTGATCTATTCACGTACCTTATCCCCAAATTTCTTTACCATTAATTTTCCTTCAGAGTCTGTCCATCTGGTCAAACCATTGGCCATAGCCCATGAATCACTATCTACTTGTGTGTCTGGCCATTTCTCCCTCCAAGCAAAGTACACAACTAGAATACTGCTTGATGTTCTGTCCACAAAGAAGATCTTTCTGTACCACTGTGGGATGTCCCCGAAAGGGGCTATAGTCTTACAGCTGTGCACTTTTGGGTGATGCCTGAGTATCATTGATTATTAGAACCATTGATAAACCAAGTTCTAGTGTTCTCTTCCTCTATTAATTGATCATAGGATGCTCCCCATGAGGCCATACATGCAGGCTGGGAGAAAGAAGGCAGTGTTGCAGGAGTAGGAGCTATGGGCACTTGAGCTACTTCTTCATGTAACTTATTTGAGCCTCAGGACCTGCTCAGAATTGACGATGGATATGCCACTTCCATTTGATAGAGTTCTGTACAAACTAAACTTTATGGCATGGTGAGTCAAATAATACTCAGCTCATGATAAACAACTTAGCTGGCATAATTTGGTGACCTGTGGTTAAATATCCAGTTTCCACTAAAGCCCAGAACAGGCCAAGAGTTTTCTCTCTCAAAAGGAGAGTAGTTATTTTTGGATGATGGCAGGGGCTTGATCCAAAATCCTAAAAGCTGCCACTGTGAGTGTGTCCCATAGAGCTTCCTGAAAGCTCCAAACAGCATCCCTGTCTACCCCTCACACCTCAGGTACCATTGAATCTGCTGGATCATCTGTTACTAGAGACAGCACAGCTTATGTAGCATCCTGGACCTATCGCAGAGCCTTCCGTGCTGGACCCCACTCAAAACTATCAGGCTTTGGGTCACTTGGTAGATGATCCAGAATAGCACAATTAAGTGAGGCAACCAAAGTGTGTTGCCTCCAAAATCCAAATAGACTCAGTAGGAATCGTGCCTCTTTCTTGGTTGTAAAAGGAGCCAGAAATCTATCACCATAGAAGTGTTATCTTGATAAGCCTCTCACCACTGGGCCTCTAGAAATTTCACTGAGGATGGCCCCTGAATTTTAGTTGGATATACAATCAAATTCCTTACCAGTAAGTCCAAAGTAGTTGCTCACTAAGTCCAAACAGCATAACATCATAATTATTACAAAGCAATGTGATATCTTGTGAAAGGGAACAGGGATCAAGGTCCCTGTGAACCTGAACTGTATAACATAGTACTGAAGAGTTGACATACTTCTGAGGTACAACAGTGAAATTGTGTTGCTGACCTTGCCAGCTGAAAATAAACTACTTCTGGTGGGGCTGAGGGAAGGTGTGGAGAAAAAAAGCATTTACCATTTCACTATCGGCATACCAAATACCACTATTGCTTCTGCTGAAGCAATGATATCACATCTGGTGTGGCAGCTACAGTTGGAGTCACCACTTGGTTAAGCTAATAGTAATCTACTGTCATTCTTCAGGTTCCATCTGTTTTCTGCCCTACAAGTAGGAGAGTTGAATGGAAATGTGATGGAAGTCCCCACACCTGTGTTTTGCAAGTCCTTAATGATGGCACAAATCTCAGCAGCTCTCTCCCCACCCCCCATCCCCCACCCCCCGCCAAGACATGCAGCCTTGTCTTTAATTTACTACTTTCCTTAATAAAGGCAGCGCTAATGGGATCCATTCGACCTTTCCCCCCATTAGAGCTCTCCATAGGTTAAGGAGCCAATGTGGGAATTCTGCTAGCTGCTAAGTATCTCTGTTGCAGTTACACATTCTAGAACTGGGGAAATGACCACAGGATGGCTTTGTGGACATAATCAACACTGAGTTGGACCTGAACTAAACATGGCTTGTATAAGCACCTATAGGGACTGGAGGGCCACAGTGGTGTTTAGGTCTCCTGAAATCAATGTCAGTTCACAGCCACTGTCCAGTAGTCATTGAAAGTTCTGATTGTATTTTTTCCCCAGTGCATGATTACCCTTACTGTTTGAAATAGAATGGGAGAAAGAGGAACAGTATAAATTGTCAGTAGGGTTACCAGGGTTCTCCCTGGAAGTAACCCAGCCTCCCCTTAATTCAAGGGGTTTAGGGTCTATAAACTGATTCAAGTCTGTGAATTTACTGAGGAGTCATGACTCTGTGATTAAAGTGATTAAAGGTAGAGTTTTTGTTTGTTTGTTTGTTTGTTTTTGACAGGCAGAGTGGACAGTGAGAGAGACAGAGAGAAAGGTCTTCCTTTGCTGTTGGGTCACCCTCCAATGGCCGGTGCAATGCGGCGGGCGCACCATGCTGATCCGATGGCAGGAACCAGGTACTTATCCTGGTCTCCCGTGGGGTGCAGGGCCCAAGCACTTGGGCCATCCTCCACTGCACTCCCTGGCCACAGCAGAGAGCTGGCCTGGAAGACGGGCAACCAGGACAGAATCTGGCACCCCGACCGGGACTAGAACCCGGTGTGCCGGCACCGCAAGGCGGAGGATTAGCCTAGTGAGCCACGGGGCCGGTCAAAGATAGAGTTTTGTTTACATGACCTGGAAGTTCTGCCTATACAGGTTAAGAATTTAGTAGGCTTCCTATCGATTTTACCTCTAGGAATACCATAATTAGCCAGTGCCATAAATCTACATGATCAAACAATTCTGATTGTTGCTTTGCCTCTGCTGTCCATTATAATAACTGTGCCCACTTTGCCTTTGACCTTTAACTGGCTAGCACTTAGCCCCTGCTATCCTGGAATCTAATTATTCCCACTGCATTTTAAGTTTTCCAATTGAGTGACTGTAGTTCCCACAATAAAGTCTGGCCTACAGACAAGAACAGTCATGGAGTTATTTAGGGATGCTGGATTCCTCGCATATTTGTCAAGGTATTGGTGCAAGATATGTTTTCTGGATCTTCTCAGTGTGGATGAATAGGTCTTAAATGACAAAGCCATTCTAACATTCTAGTATCCCTAAGCCTTTGATTCCTTTCCTGTATGTTAAACCAAAGAGATCAGGCATCTCCTGCTTGCCAATGGGGGGCCATCTTTTGATCCGTGTCTTTTAATCTGACCAAACCAACAAACAGTACCTTTTTTTTTTTTCATTTTCAATTATCTTTATATACAGAAGATTGATTTAGTATATATTAAGTAAAGATTTCATCAGTTTGCACCCACACAGAAACACAAAGTGTAAAATACTGTTTCAGTACTAGTTATAGCATTACTTCACATTGGACAACATATTAAGGACAGATCCCACATGAGGAGTAAGTACACAGGACTCCTGTTGTTGACTTAACAATTTGACACTCTTGTTTATGGCGTCAGTAATCTCCCTAGGCTCTAGTCATGAGTTGCCTAGGCTATGGAAGCCTTTTGAGTTCGCTGACTTCAATCTTATTCAGACAGGGTCATAGTCAAAGTGGAAGTTCTCTCCTCCCTTCAGAGAAAGGTACCTCCTTCTTTGATGGCCCCGTTCTTTCCACTGGGATCTCACTGGCAGAGATCTTTCATTTAGGTCTTTTTTTTTTCTTTTGCCAGAGTGTCTTGGCTTTCCATGCCTAAAATACTCTCATGGGCTCTTCAGCCAGATCCGAATGCCTTAAGGGCTGATTCTGAGGCCAGAGTGCTATTTAGGACATCTGTCATTCTATGAGTCTGCTGTGTATCTCACTTCCCATATTGGATTGTTCTCTCCCTTTTTGATTCTATCAGTTAGTATTAGCAGACACTGGTCTTGTTTGTGTGATCCCTTTGACTCTTAGACCTATCAGTGTGATCAGTTGTGAACTGAAATTGATCACTTGGACTAGTGAGATGGCATTGGTACATGCAACCTTGGTGGGATTGTATTGGAATCCCCTGGCACATTTCTAACTCCACCGTTTGGGGCAACTCCAATTGAGCATGTCCCAAATTGCAAACAGTACCTTTCTTAACTCCATTAGCAACAACATTCAATGCAAAATCTCTGTATATAGGGCCCATTCCACTAAATTCATCCTGATCCAACTTTACATCCTTCTACCACTATTCCACACCCTTCATATTCATTCCCACATATGTTCCCCATATTTTGCTTGTATAAATTAGAAAACCAAGTATTTCGTCTGGGATATGGTGTAATTCCTCCTGGATCACACTTCGTACATGACCTTTGGGAGGCTGCTAGCAAGAGTGGTAAGAGTGGTCTTAAGGAGAATCAGCAATGTCTTGCTTTGCAGCTGCCTCAGGAAAGGCCGTTACTGTTTTCTCAGGCAGTGCCGGGTTAATTCCTTCAGACAGAGGCGGAACAGCCAGCAACACTGTGGGTGAAACACTGCTGCCACTAGAAGTAAGGAGGCCTTTTTTGCTGGCAAATAAGACTTCAGAATTTAGGAGGTCAATGTCTCCAGCCTCATCAGAATCTTCCCACACTTCCCATCTCAACGTACAGGATATTATTCTTCCCAAACCCATGCCCTTGTTTTCATAGTAGACACCCTGTGAGGCTGGAAGTTCAACTTTTCCTTGTAATTCAGCCAGTTGCATGATGAGGGCTTACGTTTGACTTTCAGCAGTTTCACTCTTACGGCTACAGGAGAGAGGATTCTTGTATCATATCACACTTAGAAACTCTCAGACTGTGCAGCACTGGGACCACGAGTTTCAAACCTTACACTCATCCTTTTATTTTACTTTGTCCAGTGACAATTAGAGGCAGCTTGTCAACATCCTTGTATTCCTTAATTTTCCACAATGCTCAAAAGTGTCATATACAGAGTTAACATGTTCCTTGCCTTACATAAGTGGTTAGTTGGCAGAATTCAAAGCAGGTATTTGGGGTATCTTTATAGACAGTTCACACCATGGACTAATGTACTATTAGGTGTAGAGTCCTTATCCTTTTGAGGTTCATCAGATTAGGCAGCCAATTCTAGAAACTCCAAAACTAATTATGAAAACTCATTCTTAAAATTCTCTAGAAAAAAAATTTGTATTAAAATTCTACAAAGAAAGGGAAATAATTGATGGATGGATAGGTAAGTAAATACATAGGTAGGTAGGTAGGTAGGTAGGTAGAAAGATAAATGTATCAAAAGATTTATTAAATTAAAAGGGATTTGTTAAGGGAATTGGCACACATGATTAGGAAGACTCAGAAGTCCCACAGCAGGCCATCTGCGCACAGGAGACCTTGGGATGCTGGTAGCATGGTCTCAGAACTCAGGTAACCAGTGGTGAGACTTTCAGTTGGAGGTCAAAGGTTTGAGGACCTGGAGAGCAACTGGTGCAGAGTCCAAAAGCCAAAGAACTTGAAGTCCTGGTGTCCAAGGGGCAGCAGCAGAAGTGTCTCAGTTCAGGAGAAAGAGGAAATCACCTTCCTTTTTTGTTCTATCCAGGATTGCAGCCAATTAGGTGGCATCAACCACATTGAGGCTGGATCTTTCCACTCCAGTCCACTGACTCACAGAGCATTCTCCCCCTGGAAACACTATATAGACACACCCAGAAATAATGTTTCACCACTTAATTAGGTATTTAATCCGGTCAAGTTGACACCTAACATCAGTTGTCACAAAGGAAAAGATTGTTGACCCTAAAAATCCCTTAGAAAGCACTTCAGTCAAAAGGGGGAGGCCTTGCAACAATGGCTGAGTTATAACATCAGCTATGACCTCTTTCCGCACCATCAGTGGTGAGAGTACAGACCTCCAGTATTTGAAGAACTGGGACATTTTTGCCTACATTGGGTACAGCTGTGTGCAAGCTGCTCCAGGAACATGAGCACAGCTGCCTGCCACAGGGCTAAGGGGTACAGGATGGGTAGCAGCTACTCTTGCACGAGCTGAAGTTGACCAAAATTAACTGCAACTTACAGTCCAAGCCTTCCCTTTAAGTTGCAAGCCTTCAGTAGACTCCAAGGTTCCAAAATAGTTCCATGAGAGATTCTACCAGTGCAATTATTGTCTGGGTAAGCAGGCAGATTACCCGTGCATCCTCTTTCGCTGTCTTCCCAGACTGCTTCACTTTATTAAAATTCCTATTTTGTTTTGTTAGGGTTTAGCTTATGTTGCTTTTCCATCTTCCATAGTTGAAATCCACTTCCTTTTTCTGTTTGCTAATGAATATGTTTATAACTAGAAGAAACATTCCTTGGAGTATACACAGCTTTGACCAATCCGTAAAGACTTTGACATGCAGTGCTGTCATTATTTCTAAACATTCTGTTTTGAGTCAAGGATTGTGTGACTGAGATTTTCATTCATACTCTTGTCAGTTTCTGGTTTTCATAGATCTGGTTAAAGCATGAGATATGTACTCTTGTAGTTGAAAATTTGGATATTTCCATCATAGTTTCATGGGCATTTCTGTTTCTGTTATTTTCTTGTATTTCTGAACAATTTTTTCATTTTGTATAATTCCCTGTTTTTTTGGTACAGAAAGGGGCATGCTATTTATATTATAATTTATTTGTATGTGTTCTTCATCATTAAAAAGTTACCATTTTTCTCATGTCTCTTTTGTCATAAATTCTACTTGTCCAATATTATACTGTTTGCATATTTCGTAATACAAATATGAAATGATGTATCAGTAATGGTAATAATGCTGTCATAATGACCCTAATTTTAATGTATTCAAATTGATAATGATATTGGTGTTATATTGAATATTTTCATAGTTTGTTTTTTTGCATAGTTTTTAATTGAATTATTAGGTATAATTTTGCTTCTGTTTAGCCTACAATAACTTGAGAGTACATTGGTGTTTGATATTTTGAACTAGTCTGAGAGTTTCTTAAAATACTTGAAATTTATTCCACTTGTTTCATAGTCCGCTTTATTACTGATGATAACTCTTACATTTTAAAGCAACTCGGAACTTAACAAGTGTTTCAGTTTCAAAAATTATGAAGTAGTCATTTATTCCTTTCACTAAAAGATGAAGAATTTAGAATAATGTGGTTCCTCCCAGCTCCACATTTTTCTTAATAATACCTGCTGTAGGTAGTGTATTTCATCTATTCTGAAATTCATGTTTTCACATATTACTATCTCTGAAATTGGGATATTTTAAACACGGGTGTGTTAAAATAGCTAAAGCCTTGTGGCAGCAGTGATAAAGTTGTTTTGCTTGCACATCCAGGCATTTGGCATGACTATATAACTGTGCTTATTCAGCCTACAAATCACTTAAGGACCACTTAAGGAGAGAATGACCTTGATTATTGTCTGAACATCTTCATTGATGCCTCTTGGTGAGATCAAGAACATGCAGTCCTCAGATTCTATAGAACAGGTGTCAACAGCCTGGTAGGAGATGCTGGGGATGCTAAGAAATTCTCTTTAAGAAATTATGCATTGGGCTAATGCTGTGGTGTAGAAGGTTGAGCCTCTACCTGCAGTGCCAGCAACCCATATGAGTGCTGGTTCAAGTCCTGGCCTCTCCACTTCTGATCCGACTCCCTGCTAATGCTCCTGGAAAAGCAACAGAGGATGGCCCAAGTCCCCATGCCCCTGCACCCACGTTGGAGACCCAGATGAAGCTTCTGGCTCCTGGCTTTGGCCTGGCCCAGCCTCAGCCATTGTGGCCATTTGGGAAGTGAACCGGTGGATGTGAGATTCTCTCTCTCTCTCTTTCTCTCCCCTTCCCCCTCTACCCCTCTAGCCCTCTTCCTCCTCCCCTTCCCCGTCTCCTCCCTCTACCCTTCTCTCTCTCTCCTTTTCTCTCTCTCCTTCTCTCTGTTTTTCAAATAAATCTTTTTTAAAAAAAGAAAGAAATGATGCATCATCATCCATTCTTTCAGTGGCCCAAAGAACTGTTCTTGGACAATGATGACTGTTCACCAAAAAGTGATTCAAAGCTTCTGACTTGAAATGGGAAGATGTTTTTAGAGTAGCTTGATTTATTTAGTTTATAAATTCCCTTTTATGTTACTAGAGAATGGTACATGGTAAATATTTTAAAGCTCTTTAAACATATGTAAAATAAAAAATTCTAAGCGATTATGAGGTATGATGTTTAATTGGGGGTATACTTTTGTAGTAAGATGTAAAATAATGGCCTGGCAGTGCAGTGGAGGATGGCCCAGGTGCATGGGCCCCTGCATTCGCATGGGAGAACAGGAGAAGCACCTGACTCCTGGCTTCGGATCAGCGCAATGTGCCGGCCGTAGCGCGCAGGCCGCGGCGGCCATTGGAGGGTGAACCAACGGCGAAGGAAGACCTTTCTCTCTGTCTCTCTCTCTCACTGTCCACTCTGCCTGTCAAAAAAAAAAAAAAAAAAAGATGTAAAATAATTTCTCTTAGAATTGATGCTGTCATAAGTTTGGAACTTCATTTTTTATGGAGGCCAACATTGTGGCAAAATAGGTAAAGCCACTGCCTGAAACCCTGACATTCCACATAGGCACTGGTTCATGTCCCAGCTGTTCCACTACAAATCCAGTTCCCTGCAAATGGCCATTGAAAAGCAGTGGAAGATGGCTCAAGGGTTTGGGCCCTGCCACCCATGTGGAGATGCAGATGAAGCTCATGAGGCCAGGAGCCCAGAACTAAGGACAGATCTCCCACATAGGTGGCAAAGACCCAGGTACTAGAACTGTCATCTGATGTCTCCCAAAGTGCACATCAGCAGGAAGCTGGAATTGGATGCATAACCAGAAACTGAAATCCAAGCACTCTGATATGAGATGTGTACCTCTCTATCAGTGTCTTAAACACTACCAAAATCTTCCCCTGTACATATTTTTTTAACATTTAATGACTACTAACTGCATACTTTTTCCAAATTATTGCTCAAATAAACTGTGCACTTTTGATTACTTGCTATAGCTGTTTAATACAGATAGCAGTTTGTCTGAAAAATAATTCTCCAAAAGGTAAAAGTTTTCCTGATGTATTATAAAAATATGTGTATGGATTGATGTGTGTGTGTGTGTGTGTGTGTGTGTGTGTATTTTTTCTTTGGTGAGCTATTTTTTAAGACTTGAGTCCTTAAATTCACTTTGGGTAGGTTTATTTAAATTTTCTATATACTCATCTTTAAACATTGTGCTTGAACCTATTATTTGCCACAAAATAATATGAATCTCCTTTACCTAGTTCTTCTTTTCCTGGACACTGAACTTGTACTTTTAAAGGGCTCAGAAGCTGCTTCAAGGAGGTGGAAGAGGAGCAGGAACCTCAGAAAATTAGAACTTTGTGGCTATGTGCTTTTCCTCTACATTGGCTGAAGCTGCAACTTCAAAGGCCACTTCCACAAAGAGGGACAGCACCATCAACTGTCTGTGAGGAGGGGGCTATCCCTTGAGATTTTAGTTTGTCCCCTTGTTTTACATTAAGCCCCCCTACTTTGGTGAAAAGTCAAGTTAAGTGATGGGCCTTGAAAGCAGTATACAACTCTCTCCACAGCTGTGAAATTGGCTACTATTTTCATATTTTACATTGTATTTATATTTTTATAGTTATGTAATATACAAAAGTATTTCCAGAAGTTTGTGAAAATGGAATTAAAAAATTTTATTTTGGTGAAAAGTAATGCAAAGTCCATGCATACCAGAGATCACCAAAAAGTTCAGGAAAAATGCAAAAAACTATGCATTGGTTGGAAAGCCAACATACTGTGGCAAAAATAAAAATGTCCAACATGAAGGACCTCTGTGAGACCCCAGTGGAAAGATGTGGCCATCAAAGAAGGATATACTTTTCTCCAAAGGGAAGAGAGAACTTTGCTTATGGCCTTGTCTAAATACTGATGGAGTCTGTGGTCACAAAGGCTTCCATAGCCTTGGCAGCTCATGTAAAGAGCCCAGGGTCATCACTGGCATCATACATAAGAGTGTTAATTGTTAAATTAACAACAGGAATCACTGTGCACTAACTCCCCATGCAAGACCTCTGTCCTCAATGAGTTGGATTATGAGAATTAACTGTAAAACTTGCTATCATATAGTTTGTGTGTGTGTGTGTGTGTATGCAAGTTGTAATTTAAGTATAGAGTTGGTCTACTGTGTATAAAGTTAATTGAAAATCTTAATGGAGAATCGAACTGGGAATGGAAGAGGGAGGAGGAGGTGGGGTGGGAGTGAGGGTGGGAGGAAGGAGTGGGTATGGTGGGAAGAATCACTATATTCCTAAAGTTGTACTTAGGAAATTTATACTCATTAAATAAAAGCTTCTTTGGGGGAAAAAAAACTTTGCATGGATTTCAAATTTTTATATTAATCACTTGTAAATATACATATATATTTTGTGTGTATTTGATATACAATTTGACATATTTTTACATACTAGATTCAGTATTTCATATGTGTAACATTGCACCCTGCAAAGATTTTCCAAGTTCATATAGTTCAAAGGACTCACCAGACCCCACAGAACATGCCCTAGTAAGACTTTGTAAAAGGATACAGTGGGGCATGCAAAGGAGAATACAGACATTGAGGGCCCAAGAGCTCCCCAGTGTCCTTGTTTGCACCCACAGACCACACTGTCTCCATTATCTCTGTTGAACCAAGATCTGTTAAAAAACTTGACTTTGGGAATGCTCAAAATAAAATTTCCCAGCAAGGTTTTATGCCTCTCTGGCCATATTAATCAGCCAGATTTATTTAATCTGTTAGGCCAGTTGGAAATGATCATTAAAGAAACTGACCCTGGCGGTCATCAGGGTAGTTTCAGCCATTAAACAACACATCATAAATCCCACTGCTCTTATCTTGGCCAAGCATCAAAAAACAGACATTCTGATGTCCCCAGAGATAAGATAGAACTTTTCCAGTCTAGTTGTAAATCTTATCCACCATATACCCTCACCATCTCTTCTTCCTCCCATTAGGAAAGGAGGCGGATCAGAGGGGAAAAATAAAGTCAGGGCATAACCGTTTTTCTTGGCTTCAACAACAGCAGATCCCTGCATGGGTAATAGATTACAAATGCATTCACTTTCCTTCCTAATACCTACTTATACTGATGTTGAGCATGGTGATAATCACATATTTCTCAAAGCTCAAGCTGTAAGATGAAAGCTGTTTTCCAGTTTGAATCTTGGTGATTTTTTCCTATGAATTCACTCCTTTTTGTTCATTTGGGTTTATTCCAGGCAGAGGGAGTTTTATGAATGAGCTAATACTAGTGTCACAATCTTTCATGGAGAAGCTGTGCCTACACTGTGAGTATTCAGAAGCATAAACAGGGTGTTGGTGGAGCCAATATAAGTACTTGCCCAAAACACATGGAACTTGAAGGGAAAAACAGTATAGTAATTCCAGCTTCCAAAGAATGCAGAACTATCACCACTCATCGGTTCTCTCTGGTCCCTTCTCCCTACCCTTCTCATCCCACCTCCCAATAAAGACCCATCGCTGATTATGCACAAAAGTTGTATAATTATTGTGTGTATAACTGTTCTGTAGTAGTGTGAGTTTCTATAACAGGAAAAATCTTCTCCAGTTTTATATTCCTGATTTCTAGCAGAGCAAAGTTTGGATCATCCTGTAACTTGAGTCTCAC